CTAAAATTGCTCCTCTATTCAGCCAAATCCACAATCAATAGGTAGATTTATGATTCAAAGACAGCTCGCAATTTATACACCGTAAAAAATGAGCAATATGTTCCTTTTGATATGCAGAAACTAAAATTGCTTCTCTATTCAACCAAATCCACATTCAAGCGACAGATTTAAACTTTCAGAGATAAAGAAGTAGAAACGACATCGTCGATAAAATTTTCGGAGCTACAATTTTGGTTGGTGGAAGAAATGAAGAAGAACACCACAAATAATATCTACCAACATACCAATAGTGCAAAAGAGGAGATTAAAAGACGCGGTGATTTTCGTGAGCAGAGGGAAGAACTATAGAGAGAAAATGAAAGCAGATCTGAACATGAAAGAATGAAAAGAGAGATATTGCATGTCAAAATAGAGGAAAACGTGTCTTAGAGAGAGTAAAAGAAAAACCCAACAATGATAAAACTTCTTCAGCTCACTCCAACAAGGCTCAGCTTTGTTAGAAATGTGACGGCTCAGCTTTGTTAGAAATGTGGCTTATGAACAGTAAAAAATACCCACTCTTTTATATGTAGTTAGATATTGGTTTCGAAATAATTATGTTAAATCTTTCTTGTATTATTCTATATCTATTACCTAAATCTTCAATTTTCATTATTTTTTATTTATTTATTTTAATGATTTTTCCTTTTAGTAATAGTATTTTCATGATTTTTATAGATCCTAAAGATCATATGGCTCTAATACCAAATAAGGGGTGCTACTATGAGTGAACAAAAATCTAATAATCTAATAATCTTTTAAAATCTTAAAATAATTTCTTATTAATATTCTAAATTTATAACGTGCTAAGTAAATCTCCAAAATCTAATAATAGTCGAGAATTTATAATATCAAGATCTGTTATTATATCTATATTTGGATTAAAAGGTATATCGTATTTTAAATTTTTCTTTTTTTCTTTTTCCAGTTTGTCAATAATATTTTGTATGTCATTTATTATTATAGATCTTACTATTCCTTTAGCAAAATTTTCCATCATATTTTCTTTAAAACATTTTAATATTTTTTGAGATGCATTCAATTGTTCTTCATATCCAATCTTATCAAATTCTTTTTTATCTTTTACAATTTTCTTAATCTTGTATAGTCCTCTTTTAGTTCTAGGTTTTTTAAAATTTTTATTTGTCATTTTAAAATCTAGGACTTGGTTTTATTTTTCTCTTATTTTGGGTAGCTTGGATGTAATTATTATCTTTAGGGGTATTTTAGGTAATTTTGAAGTTTGGAAAAGTCAAAGGCTATTTTGGAAAGGGTATTGTTAAATTTTGGGTATTTTCAATAATTTCCCGAATTAATTGGCGGTTGGCCTGGGGAGAGAAATTTGGTGCACTTATATATATTATACTTGCACACGGACAAAGGAAAGGGGGTTCTTGAGGAGCTGAAATAAATTATACACATGCAACCCTCGCCGCAGGAAGCTGAGAGAAGAGAAAATACATGCGCAGACAGAAATTGGAAGGGGTTGAGTGGCTGAAATTAAATATATTCATACAGCCGAAGCAGCAAAGAGAAGAAAAACGCAGCAAAAGGGAAAAAGAAACAAGTGGATGGGCGACAACTTATATTTTGGCAAACATTAATCACGTTTGGTCAATTTTCAGTGATGTTGTTCCACTTTTATTTATTTAATTTCAATATCATGTTAAGCTAGATTTATATGTGCTAGGATTTACAATGAACCTCGCATGGTGATCTTTTAATTATTTATTTTACAATTTGATATTCAAATACGTTTGATGGATGTTGAATGATTTATATACTTTCTTGCCTCCATAATTAAATATATGTGATTATGTGAGTTTGTGTGGTTTATTTTATGCATTCGAAAGAAGGAAATAAATTCAACAAGGTATAAATCATCGTTTTGTTCATAAAGGATAGAAATATACCGATATGCATTACGTGAATCTTTAAGTGTTTACAAAACGTCAAGCATTCTTGTATATTGCATTTTTCATAGAAATATAGTCAAATAGTATTCTAGGTTCAATTCTACTCGAAAAAGATTGTTGGATAAGTTAGAAATATTGATTCTTCAACCAATTCATCGTGTTATCAAATTGTGAAATAGGGATTAAGAGTGAACTTGCTTCGTGATTCGGGATTCTAGTACGTTTCTTTTCTATTAGTTACTCCAATTTGCATTCAATCATATAATTTACATTTAGTTTAATTAATTCCTCATTTATTGTTTTCATTTAGTTTAGTTACAACTTAACTATAGAAATCAATCATATTTCATGTTTCGGTTAAGGTCGGAATAGGTTAAATCGAACTAGTAAATCTCTGTGAGAACGATACTTGGACTCTAAAAATCCATTTTATTACTTGAACGATCCGTACACTTTCGGTAATCAAATGAACTCTAAAATCCATTTTATTACTTGTCAACGAACCATGCACTTGTGGTAATTTAAATCCGAAACATATTTTCGTGAACATTGACTAGGGGTAGAATAAAATTATTTATCTACTAGATAAATATAATTAATGATATAATCGAACTTATATAGTTAGATGAATATTATGGTATTAATTTGAGTAATACCCATAATTGTGGGGGTATGATTGTTGTTTGCATGATATTCTAAATGAAAGTTCGAATGCAAACCAAGATTTGTGGGGTTGCAATACTGCTCATAAAATACACTCTTAATTGAGGAATTGTGGGGTAGCTTATTTTATAAGTTACATTTTTTAAATCTTATGAGTTATGGAAAAAATTTCCTATCAAGAAAAAAGGGTGGAAAACACTTATACTAATTTTGAAGTAGTATGAGGATCGTTCACAAAGGTGAAGAACTCTAAATCGAATGTGGATAAAATAGGAACAAAATCGATTATTGCATGTGTATTGGATATGCAATAATAGTATTTGAATATTTGAATAATATTCATAAATTTAATTGCATTGTAGTAGATTATGATACAATTGATTTAAATTGAATACATATTATCAATGATTCAAAATGCATTAGTAAAATTGTTTTACTATGTCCAGTATAGTAACGTGTTAGAAATCCTCCAACCATATTGTTATTTGGAAAATGACATAGCGTTAGATAAAGATAGATAGCATCATGTGGCTTCATGGAAGGATTTCTTAGTTAGTGAAAATTGTATCTATTACATGAATCGATTGTGATAACTAGCTATATTTAATGAGATATGTAGTCACTTGTATTAGTAAGTCTAGACATGTATGTCATAGACAAATACCATAAAGTAGTTGATCTCAAATAGTATAAACCCGTGGATCCACTAAGAAAAGTTTACCCAAAGATTAAGTATACTATGAATTGAGTGGAATGTTCTTAGAACCTAATGTGTAAAGATCTTTATAATGGTAGCCCAATCTAATTGACTGTAGATCTCAAGATCTTGGTTCATTGTCACATCACAAATAAGTTAGGAAGATTCAATGAGCACTTGGAGTTAACTATTACATGTTCCTATGACAAGAAAAGTGCTATTGCAGAATGTTTTAGGTTAAGTTAAACTTTTAATAATTCCTATAACTTGAAAAAACTTTGGAAAATTATAGTTTGCCTGTAATATAGATATTTTCTCAGACTGCGATTTTTTCTGGATTAATAGGAGACGTGGCTGAAATATGCTGTGCGTAGCTTGTTTTCAGTTACCCGAGTTTGTTCCCCATCTTTGGTAAAGGCTTTTGATGTATACATGATGAACTTTCGCTTGAAATAAAAGCTAAGTTAAATTCCTAAATTTGATCATAGGCCAAGTTCTTTGATGGTGAAAAAAGAGGGAACAGCCAAAATAAAAGATCTCCTCGGGCTTTGTCTAACACGATGCACAGACCACTTGCTGCTGCTCTTGCATCAGATGGAAAAGATGAAGAACCGGTTTTATGTACAGATTCTTCACGACATTTTGGGTTAGTTGTGAGGAAGCTTGCTCCTTCTAATCTACAGAGCCCTTTTGTAGAGGTCAAGTCTGATGCTGGAAAAAAGAAGTTTAGGTGCACGACGGAGTGAGGTATGGAAATTTTGGTTGGGTCCTGCTGAAGTATTTGGTAAGATTATATTTTCTACAGCATTGGGTTGCAATTTATTTGCTCTTGTTAAGCTAAAAAACATGCAATTCTGGAAGATGGGAAATGGATCTAAGTGGGGGATATACAAACCAAGAATCGAAGTTAGCTCCCCTACCTGGAGTGACGATTCTTCTAGAGATTTAAATTGCAGACATTCTGCAATTAAAAGGAAAATAGCATTACCGGAAAGTTTAGAAGGCTTTTCTCAATGCTTAAAGTGCAGCTTTGGGACTGCCCAGAAGCTACAGATTTGCAAACTTCTCCCTCTGATGCTGGTCTGTTATCCTCTAGAACATCAGCTTCCAGGTGACCAATGCCTATGGAAGAAGCTGAGATTCTTGTTAAGAGATGGCAAGCTATTAAAGCAGCTTCCCTTGGGCCAGATCATAATGTTGATGGCCTCTTAGAATTCCTGGATGGATCAATGCTTGCTCAGGTGAGAGAAGCATCATTTTCAAATTGTGGTATAGTTATGCTTGCGCTTGAACCATAAAATTAAATTAATTTAAATCATGTTTGATTGTTGTTTATATTCAATTTAAAATTATAAATAGATATAAATGTGAATAGTACTTGTGGGCCCATGAAATGTAAGGACAAAAAGTGATTTGATCGATTATAAACAGTTTATTAAAATTAGCCAGAATTGGGCTTACTCTTATATATAAAGTTTGTTATAAATCGTAATATCATAACTATGATAATAAGTTTTAACAAACATGTTAATTACTGCGAAATCACTCCCAATTTTAGTAGTTGACTAGTCCTTGCTATTTTATGTTAAGTTGTCCATTCTGATGTACAATTTGAAATCAGTAGAGGAAGCTGTGAATTTTCAATGACTTAAAAAATGATGTGCTGGTATTCCAAATGTTGTGGTCAATCTTGTGACTGCACCAGTTGAATTTGTAAGAAGACTTCAAACTTTTATGATAAATGAAACTGTTATTCTCCAGCTAAGTTATTAATTTTCTCCCATTTGTATATGTTGCAGTGTCAAGCTTTAGTTGATTCAGCAAAAGCCAGGTCATGTTTTTGGAGATCGTTTTTCTTCAATTGACAGTTCGACGGGCAGAGATTTTCGAAGATGGTATTGGGAACGAAATGGCTGAAATAGAGGTTCTCTTGGAGGAAGCAGCAGAACTCGTGGATGAATCTCAACCTAAGAGCCCAACTTACTCTAGGTAATCTTTAACACAGGACATATGTGTACCGTATCAACTATTTATCTGTTAAGAGTACTAATCAGGCAAAATAAAGAATAAATTTTGTAGCCTTGATAGTTTTTTCTTTTTTTACCTCAAAAATATTACTTTCAGTGTCATTATTAATAACATATCAAAGTATGCTAAGACTTCTCAGGAATATGAAATAAATGCAAAACTACTGGCTTCCAACATTTGAGCAATTCTAATTTTCTACAAGTAGTTGAACCCTTCAGTAAAATTGGTAGAGGTTTAATTTTTGAATCATAGGACTATATAATTTTAAAAGATGAGTTAAGTAAATATGTTGATCTGTTACCTTTGAGTGGTGAAATGTATTGATGTTTCTGAGCATAGAATGGTTGGTGCTTGGCCAGTTTTTCTGTCCACCTGTCAATTATTTTCATGCTTAAACATATGAATTATGAACAGATGTCACTTTGCTGCTTTGCATTACCAACAGAAATGAAGGGTTCTGTCCATATATCGAGCTTCAGTCACATAATTATTATGACTGATGGCACTGTTGTGAGACATATGATGTAATCTATTTATCTGTTTCTACTTTTTTTTTAAGATATTTATCTGTTTCTACTTTGTTAGAGATATTTTCTGACAATACCTCGTTTGTAATTGCAGCACTTACAGAATTCAATATTATTTGAAGATGCAAGACGACGGTTTGTGGAAAATCTGTGAAGGCAATATTGACACTCCTGCATGAACCTCTTAACGTCGTCAAAAACTACTAACCACCATAATCTAGTTCTAACCAATACAAAGCTGCAGTTGTATCCTTTCTATTTTAAACTATAAATGATAAAAAACTGAGGTTAATAATCAGTTGAAGCGCAGATCCGAGTTTCTTTTCTTTCTTCTCATTTTTTACTTTTTAAGGCTGTTATTACTTTAGCACAACTAGTTGGGATATTCCCATTGTTTCTAGAACTCCAGCTGTGCAACCGGTAGTTTCAAACTTCAATGTTGTTACTGTAGGACTTTGAGAATGAAATTAGGATTGTATTTTGTCAACCAAGATATTGTTTATTATTATGCTTTACCATCGGCTGTTGAACAGTTAACTTTCATTATCATTTATCTTTAATGAGTTAGATTATGTTTCATTGAGCTTTGAGTCCATTTCAAGTGCATTTTAGTTTTGTGCTGACAGACTGACAGTAAAATTCATGCCGATGTAACCACAAAATAGAGGGGATGTGTTGGCGATATGTCTATTTTGCTTTAGTTATAGGGATACAGGACTCAGGTGCATTCCGTGGAGGAATCTTTACCCTCCTTCTCGGCTCCTCGCTTACTACGAGCTCATGTGTGATTGTACAAACGACCCTTGTAGCTTACTTGGGTGAGAGAGAATTATGCAGTGGGTTGGTAGCAGGTGCACAAATTGGTATTTGCCTGAGTTAAATCTTGAGGCCTGTGTAAACCTCATACAGTGCTGATAACTTTCTACTTATTTGTTAAGTCTGTGAATACTGACACATGTCTTCATAATTAAATTTGTAAAGTGGCACAACACAACAGGGGTGAATGACTATGCACCCAGTAACTTTTAAGTATCCCAATTCACTATGAAATATGCAAGAATTACAAAAAAGGCTCAAACAAAGAGGACTTCAATTGTGGGATTGAAAACGTGTATAACTCTGAAAGAAGTAGAGAAAGAAGACCCCGAGTGTCCTCCCTTGTAACACATTTCGGGGGTCGGGTGGCAGGTACCGGTGCTGTAGATATCCTCGGGTTCATTTTCTTTGACTGAGATGAGATGATGTTGGTTGCATATTTTGGGTAAACCAAAATAGAATTGGTACTAAGAATCTTAAATCCTTCCTATGAAACAAGAAAATCTAAGGGGTTGTTCTCTTTATATTTCAGTTTTGTGTTTTGAGTTTTGAATTCATTCTGTATTTTGTGTTTTGAGTGTCTGTTTTGAAATTTCTGAAAATGTGTTCTTTTTGCCATTCCGAAAAACACATAAAAATGGAAAACGTGTTTATTTTGAAATTTTGAGAATTTTTTTTAATAATAATTTATTCAAGAAATCTAATTATTCAATAAGTTTTTAATAGTTTAATGTTAATATAGTATTAAATAACATATAAATTTTGAAGTTAGTGAATCTTAAAATATTTTTTTTTTCCAAATATAAAAAAAACATAACCTAAATTAAATTTGGCAAATCTTTATTTTTATCCTTGTACGTAACTTGTGACAATAATTAATTAGCATCATGTCACAATCAAACCTTATCAAGTTGCAAAAAAGGGGAGCACTAATCTCATGTTGAAATGTTAATAAATATTTTGAGCTCCAATTATTCGTAGGACATTTGGTCAACTGTGCATCCGAAGCTCGCCTAGGTAATGTATTGGAGAATGCGCCATCATTTGGGACATAAATAGGCATGCTTGCTTGCAGAGGTAAAGGTATGCCAGTTGCCTATCCCAAACATAAGGAAATTTGAAACCAAGATATTTTCCAAGACACAAAGTTGAGATAAAAATCAGTAGCTGTTACCAATATATTTTGCCTATAAGACGAACTTTCTGTTCGGATAATTAACTTAATTTGGCCAAGTTACTTCACAGCAACTTCAAAAGGGGAAACAAAATACATAATAGAAACAAAGAAGAGGTGGTGGACAATTGAAAAGTTCCAATTGCATTTTGATTCTACAGAAGTAAACGAAAACGAAAAAGAAAAGGTCATCTAACAACTGTGAACCCCAACAGTCCCAAAACGAAGAGTATCAAAAATTTAAACAGCTACTACAGAATTTATTGCTCAACGAATTATCAAGAAACTAAATGAGCAACCTAAACAAATTGCTTATTAAGAACAACAAGGGACATGATGGAATAACAAGGGCACGTTAAGGGGAAAAAAAATTTAGGAGCATACATTTGGTCGGGTTAGATTGATATTGGTTCTTTTCAAAAAGTATACATGTTATGCATGTAAAAACATGCTCATACACAAATTTACATACATTTAAAGGGCATTGTTAAGCTAAAGAAGTTTTATTATGTTCTAATAGTCCACTCTGCAAAGGTAAGAAATATGGTCAGACTTGGCAGCTTCATTCTCCTCCATAGTACTCTTGTTACAAGGTTGGCATTTCTTATGTAGAACTCCAGCATACATTGTAAATGTAATTATCACTACCCAACTGCTCTATCTAAAAAATTAAATACATGTGGAGATTAAGTGAGAAAATATCACATTAGCAATAAATTACATCTACAATTGCACAATCGATAACTTGCGAAAGGGAACCCATATCTTGGAGAATTGAACATGAAAACAGAACTCACATATCGATCTTTCTTTCATAAGGTATTACCAACACCAATACAGCAACACAGCAACCAAGTTTGTTTGCCTCAATCCATCACCAACATATCAACCAAGTTTCTCAGATATTAATATCATCATAAAGACACCAAAACAACAATCTCGAAATCGAAAAACAGTTCAGTTGAAATACCATGAATGAAAAATAGTTCAATTTCTACAATTGAATGAGTACCCAATGTCGTTTGATGATGAATTTTAGTTTCCCGAGGTTGATTTTTAGATTGGAACATATTTGAGTGATCAATTGAAATGGGGTCGAGCGGCATTTCGTGCGTGTTGGTTGCAGGTTAATTGATTGGCAGATTCGAGCTAAATTGAAGAAGACCCATATATGTATCTTGTCCGCCATAATGAGTAGAAG